TCCATATCTACCTTCTACTTTATCGTTGTTCTTTTTCCGACTCTGCTGTTGAGGCCTCCCAAGATTATTATTTCTCTTGTGTTACCCACATTTGTGATTTCTTCATTCAGTTGTTCGAAAAAGTTATCTTTCACATTTACAATAGCATCGTCATTGATTGCGTATATTCCCAGAATGGTCAGTCTGTATCCTTTTATACATATATTCATTTTTATCATTCTTTCGTTGATTCCTTCCCGTGATGTGATGTATTTTCTGAAGCGACGGTGTATCATAATGGAGACTTGTTGTTAAGCTCTACGTTTTTTTGTGACTCCGGTGTGTAAATGATCGTATTTACCTAGGTGTTCCGATCTTTGACCTTTTCGTTTAGTTTGGTAATCATAGCTATGTATATCTTTATTTTGTTTAGTTGTTCTCCTTTTCCATGTCGCAAAAATCATTTTCCTGTTCCGCAGCATTCTTCGTCGTCGTATTTCAGTCCGGTTCCGAGGTTGGATTTTGGGGTTTTTAACGTTTACCATTTTTGACGAGTATCGAGTGGTTAACCTGATGCCCCAACCCCAACTTGGATCAGGGTTTGATTTTGGAGCTTTCCTTTTCCTAGACGGTTTGCTTTCACTGCAGCTTAAGGGTATCTTCTGCCCTACCTGTTGGTCCGCGAGTGGTATTTTATTTCCCACCTACCCGCCAGCTGATGCTGGTGAGGTAGAGATGTGTAATACTGTCTTGAATGGCGCTCTTGTATTCACACTTTAGAGTGTATCAATCGTATTGATACAGTTGAAATGACACAGTGACACCTATGAAACAGTTCAACACACCAACATAGCGTATTAAAACACATACTCTGTGATACAGTGTCGCACGCAGTGTCGACACAGTGTCTATCTTCGACACACACATACAACATACAATAAATTAGAGCATACCCGCAAGACAAACTCACAAATTTAATCATGTAGTATGCGTTGTTGCCGCGAGTATATTTGTAAAATTACCTACTCCAAAAAATTAAAGAAAGTTTATAGTTGCAATTAAAAGAATGAACAAATAAGGAATTTATTTTTTAGTAAAGTTTGAACTCCCATGAAATGCCCAGAATTGTACTATTACTATAAATCTATGAACCAATTATAATAAATTAAAACCAATTATACCAATTAAAAGATTTTGAAGGAAGTATTATGGATCATCCATTTTTTATTTCTTTTACTAAATTCGAATCTAGAAATACTCAGTCTTAAAGTATCAAATTTAGGGTAATTTCGCTTAAAATGTACTGATTTACCTCAAGAGAAAAAAGTTTTTCCTTTAATTGAACCCATATTTTTTTTATATTGAGATTACTTCATGCAATAAAAAAAGTGACTTAAGTATACCAATGTTATTTTGATAGCATATGTTTTAACGAAATTCCATCATTTGGCAACTATGTGCATAGTTATATTTAGAATTTGTATCAACGGTATAGTTTCTCGCATAATGTAACACTGGCTGACTGGCACAGTGTTTCTGTACTATGCAACAGAAAATACTGAAACACTGTGTCATGATACTTTATTGTGCTGATACAGGCAGCTGTGTCAGTGTCATTGTATCAACACTCAAAAATTTACGGTGTTACCCATGACTATGGTGAGGGTTTTCCCCTATCCACCACCTGGGGACGCGCTCTCTAGGAGCTACAGGCTCTCCCGAGAGCAATCGTATTTATATGGTACAATATACCAAATGATTGGATTCGTACATTATAATTTTTTATATCGTTTTTCTGTGTTTTTTTGGTGACCCGTGCTCCAAACCACCGGTCTCTCCGAAGTATGAGATTTTCTTCTTTCATCGCAATTCTGTAATTATTATACTTCATTATATTGGTGGTTTTATTTTATAGTTATGTAAGGGATCGGGAAATCACCAGAAAATATGAAGAGGTCTCTGTATATTTTCATTTTAATGATTAACATACAGTCACAAAAGACATCAGGACAACAGAAATATATTAATTGTATAGATTAAATACATCGTTTTTTGAGATTCCATTTGTTATATTACATTGATAATATTTTAGACGCTATATTATAAATGGAATATCAAAAAACGATGTATTTAATCTATACAATTAATATATTTCTGTTATCCTGATGTCTTTTGTGACTGTATGTTAATCATTAAAATGAAAATATACAGAGACCTCTTCCTCTACACCCATTTCCTACAGGCGCAATATGTTTATGCCAATTTGCAAAAAAATATGATACGTTACAATACGAGAACTATGATACAGTGTACAGTATATAGTTATTTACAAATGATCCAGTAGGCGCTACAAAGAACTCCAACCATATACGAGGGCGTACTTCAAGGTGGTACGATTGTGCCTCGGTACTATATCATTTATGTAAATTTAATCGATTATATCAGTATTTAAACTGTTATTTAATGCATTTAGATGAATGGGTCCAATTTTAAATGGGTTTTTTTTGTCTATTTGGTGTCATTCTGTATATGGAAGTCACTATGCAAATTTTAATAACGATATTTTAGGTATCTAATTATTATTTCCGGATTTTGAAGTACTTTTAGAATACTCTGATCATTTGAACCTATTTATTACATGTATTAGGGCGTGACAAAGAAATTTTTATTAATTTCTTTAATTGGAATTATATTTTTCCACGATTAGCGAAATATTTACATCTACATCTAGTCGTCAATTTGTCCTTTCAATAACCCATCGTGTAACGACAATCTTTTGCCTACCACAGGGGGCATTAATACGGGAGATAGAAAATTAGGGGAAAAACTATTGGGGGTGGAGATAAGGCAAGCAAAATAAACGCTACTTATGCGAACGGCACTCAGGGTTTCGTAGGAGAGCTGGGGTCGTGGATAAGTAAAAGATAAGGGCATTGGAATGGGGGAACTACAAAAAAAATGAAATAAAGGGCTCTTGGGATAAACAAAATAAAAATAAACAAGAAACACCTCAAGGAATTTAATATAGGGCGCCACTTGAGGTGCCTAATTATGCCTATTACAACCACTAGTTGTAACTAGGGAAATAATTAGAAAACAAAATCAAAACATAAAAAACATATTTTTTTCAAATAAACTCAAAAAGGGTTAGCTCAAAAAAAAAAAATAAAATGTTAAGACAACAAAATTTAACATTTAATTATGTGTCACCACAAACAGTTACATGGAGAAATACAAAATTCAAAAACTTACATGTGTCATCCATTAACAAACTCCATTGCTACAAAACTTACACAATTGCATGGAGGTTAACCTTTTTAAACAAAAAAAAAACAAAACAAATCAACATCAAAAATACTAAAACGAGCTGTCATAAATTAACATTAAATTTCAAAAAAACTAAACACAAATTGACAGCTTTACTCAAAACCTAAAATTTACAATTTTAAATGTCAACGAAAGCAATTATTATTTTATAAAAAAATGTCTGTCTTTAGTTTAAAATTTGAACAAAATGTTACCTTAATTCACATGACCACACTTAACTTTCTGAAATCATAACTGGAACCTGGAACTGAGGGCTCCACTCTCTCTGCATCACGAAAACCTCCATCTCCAAACTGCCAAAAGCCTTGGATAAAAGCAGGAACAAAAAAAATCGAGGATGTCCTCTAATCCTCACTCAAAACATTAATAATTGAAGCATTTACTGCCACAAAATCAATAACAAACTGCTACGTATTCTTCATAATAAAAAACAGAATACTTTACAAATTCGACGTGAATTTGGACATAACGCTGAACCGCTCTTGAAAGCTGCTCCAACGAGAGTGACGAAATTATCTATTAAAATTGATCGCATAACTTGAAAATAAACAAACACTTGACATAGCAAAATCAACGAACGACGTAGATATCCTTTGCGACGCATAAAATTGAAAAGAAATTGCCGAAGTAAAATAAACAACTCTCAAATGGTTTTATTACTCGGCGACGAAACACTTTTGGGTACTTTGAAAGATACGAACTAACAACGCGGAAAAATTCTTCGTTTCATTTTTTAAATATATATAAGGAGTTTTTAATATATTTTATTATACGAGGAGGTTTCAATATACTAAAAAGAATCAATGAAATTGAAAATGCTACAATCGGTCACTAAGTCTCGAGCCTATTTTTTTACTACAAGGGGGTGCGGAAGCGATTCAGCCCAATTCGTTTATTTTTGATGTTGTATCGACTTATAACACGGTGCTTTGCCTTGGTGAAACAACAATTTTTTCTTCAACACATGAGGCCTTTTCTTTGTGATTTCTGTCTTTAAACAGTCCAATAAACCAATATACATTACTTGCTGTTGATTGTTTCTCCATGTTTCAAATAGCCAATGAAAGTAATTCCTTGCTGATCCCAAAATATAGAGGCCATAATCTTTCCGACCGGTTTGTTGCGCCTATGGTCGCTTTGGACGGCTTACTCCGAGTGCTGTCCACTCAGATTACTGTCGGTTTGATTCCGGAGTGAAGTGATGGATCTATGTTTCATCCATTGTAACATACCGATGCAAAAACTTCGACGTATTCGCATGAAACATGTCCAAACAGCGCCGAGATTCTTTAATTCGTTGTTATTTTTGCTTTGCAGCTCTGGTGTGAGAAAACGCGGCACCCATTTGGTAGCCTTGATGGCTTTAGAGTGTCAGCTATCTCTTGCAACTTTATTTTGCTGTTTTCTATAATAATTTTCAGTATTTTTTCAATATTTTCGGAAAAAACTGTATTATTTGGCTTTCATCAAAGCCCAAGCTCAAAATCATTTGTGTCGATTCAGCAATATTTATTATATAAATCACAAAACTAGCGTCACTTCAAACACTAGAATTTAATATAACACAATTACTACATTTTCTCGATTAGAACTGTAGATATAGAACTGTGTATGTATGTCTAGGATACTTTCGAATTTTTGACGTTTTAACTGAAATTTGTGGACTTTACTAACTTATTTATTTTTTGTTACAGACCAATGACAGCACAGTGGAGTCAACGCGCAGCAGTTCTGCGTCGATGCGGAACAGGTCGCGAGTGGGAGAAGAACCGACCATCGGCAAATACAAACTACTCAAAACCATCGGAAAAGGAAATTTCGCCAAAGTCAAACTGGCCAAACACGTTCCCACGGGCAAGGAGGTGGCCATTAAGATCATCGACAAAACTCAGTTGACACCTGGTTCACTCCAAAAACTATTTAGAGAAGTAAGTGACAATATGTATACACACTGAAAAGTGAAAATTATTAAATTTATTGTATTAACGATATTTGTTTCGGCCTAATGCATCTTTTTTTTTTGTTTTATTTATCCGCATCAACCACTGGGGTTATTAGCGGTAGGTTTATGATACAAATAGAGAAAATAAGGTACATTTTGAAAGCAATGATTTACAACAATTTGGTACAATGTACATGTATGTACATGTAACAAAAATTAAATCATAATTTATTATAGAGTTTAAAGACAGAACTTCATTGAATTTTGTGACCAGTGCTTCTTCCAGGCTCTTGGGTATCTTGAAGATCGTCTTGGCTGAAGTGTACTCTGGACATTCTATTATTATATGGTTAACTGTGAAATGTGTTTGGCATCTTTAGCACATTGATAGTGGTTATTTGAAGATTATGTAGCCATGCGTAAGTTGTGTATGCTCAAGCCGGAGTCTGCTGATAATTACCTGGTCTTTTCGTTTTGGTGGTATAGGAAGATTTTTTAAAGATACGTCTGGTTTGACGCTTTTAAGATTTGTGTTTGTTTGATCCCATATTTCTTGCCAAATTTTATTTACATGAGTTTTGAATAGTTTTAGTATCTGATATTGGTATACCTGTTGTAGTCATAATGTTCACATTGTTTATTGCTTCAAACGCTGTTTTGTCTGCTAGCTCATTACCAGTTATTCCGACATGTGATGGGACCCACATAAAACGATATGGTTTTCCCAGAAAATTGGAGCTGTTGCAACGCATCTTTAATTAGGAATATATTGATGTGTGTAGAATAAACATTTTTAATGGACTGTAAAGAACTTAATGAATTTGATAATATTAGTATTTCTTTTTCATTTGTGGTTTTACAATGATTTAGTGCGTGAAGTATTGCTTGGAGCTCTGCGGTATAAATACTACAGCCGCCAGTTTTCTGATACAGTAGCAGCTGCTACTCCATTGCAATCTTTTTAGGCATCGGTGAAGAACAATTTGTAAGTGGAATATTTGAAGACATTATCATGATACTGAAGCCTGACCTCAGCAGAAATGTGTGAATTCTTATGATGATTAAGAAGGAGAGGTCTACATTGGTAAAGAAACTGTCCAGGGAGGTGTCTGGTGTTTTTTATTGGTAAAAGTGCATCTTTATTAAATTGCTTTTTTTAGAAAAGGTACAAGTTGTACTTTTATAGTTACGTCTCAATAATTAGCTTCCATCTTCAAAAATTTGGTTCCTCTATATTTTGGATATTCAAGTTACTGCACCTATCACGTTTATTCTAGTTGCTTTGATTTCCTTTCGGTCTCAACTATGGAGGAAATTGGTAGATTTTGGTTCAATAATGTTATCAGTCTGTGTACATTTCTTTCCACCCAATTGCATAAAGCTAGCACGATCGGATCGATTTTAGAGCTTTTTAAATTCATTCACGAACTCCTCAACCCGGAAACTCACGCTGGGTATTTTATTTTAAATACCGAAACCGACTTATGTGTCTTTTGGATTTTAAACGATACGCAGATACAGAGCAGACTTGGATTTAAGAAGTTTTTCACCCTTAAAAGCTTTCATTTGTTTTTTCTTCAAGAAAGTCATTTATAATATTAAGAAACTCCCTCTCTCCCTTTCAACACGTATCTACCCTTACATGAGTCGACATCGTTAAGGTCAAGGACTACATGGAGCTTCAACGATAAGTTTTATTAGGTGATTACTTTGTGGTCATTTTAGATTTTCGAGCAACATTTTATCTGGGTAGTTGTTGGGGAACACTGCTATCTTTATCCAGAGTTTTGCCAGTTGTTTTGAATATCTTTACTGACTTTAATATAATAGCATCATTACTTATAGCTACTGTCAATAAAGCCATGATGTCGAAAATGCTAGCCAACATATCCAATGATCGATAATGGTCATGGAATTAGAAGAAGATGAAGAAACTTACAGCACGAACCTCAACACTATCTCTTTCAGTCATTGATATGTATTCACTAAATTTAATAATCGTAGTACTTGTTCTGAAAATAAAATTGCAAAAAATAAATTTATTGTGTACTTTATATCCAAACATTCTATTGTATGTGGTAGAAATTTGGACAATGAACACAGTTAAAACAGTCATTTTAAATATAATTCGTCTAATGGTGTCTAAAATAAAACTTTAGTTTGTTTGTTTCAAACGACTGAACAGTCGGCATATTCTTCATTCATTGATTGATTATTCTCGATTTCGTTTTTCAGGTAAGAATAATGAAAATGTTAGACCATCCGAATATAGTGAAACTCTTTCAAGTGATCGAAACGGAGAAAACTTTGTACCTGGTTATGGAATACGCGTCCGGCGGAGAAGTCTTTGATTACCTCGTTCTGCACGGTAGGATGAAGGAAAAGGAAGCACGAGCGAAGTTTAGGCAAATTGTCTCTGCAGTACAATACTGCCATCAAAAAAGAATTATACACAGGTAAGCAGATCATATTTAACTTTCGAGTTTACAAAATACTAAGTAATCTTCACACAAGAAATTCTAAATTGGAAACAAAAAACTGGTTAACAAAGGTCCTGAGTACAGACCTGGCTAAAGACATATATCATCTTTAAAGGCCTGTACTTAAAAAAATTTTAAGAGTTAATTTTATTTAGTTGATTTGTAGTCTGCATATTAGCTTTTATTTTTGGTTTTGTATATAAAAGTCCCATTCTATTTTACACTGTCGGGAAAAAGATTTTAGTTACATTGAAATTGTGATGTCTCGTTGATATTTTCGGTTGTAAACTTCTGTTTGCGCTTGTAAACTATTGGTACTGTATTTTGTAAACTAACTTTAATTTTCAATATTGATTTAATAGCAGTATTTTGGTTTTTGAGCTTTATTTTGGAGAAATAACAAGTTTACAGTTAAGTAAAAAAAACAAAGTGTGAATTATTACTAAGAAACTCAAAAAAAAAATTAAAACTAAACATTATTGGAAAAAAATCTTCGAGAATAGCGTGTGTTTCCAACTCTTGAATTAATGACAGCTTGCAGGCGACGAGGCATACTTTCAATTAAATTACGGATCACATTCTGGTCGATGTTATCCCATTATTGCAATAACACCTTTCGTAGCTCCTGGGCAGTTCTTGGAGCGGGTGTATGTCTTCGGATACTTCGGCTCAACTCATCCCAGACATGTTCGATAGGATTCATGTCTGGACTGAGAGGTGGCCAATCAAACCGCCTAATTCCTACTTCATCAAAATCTTCTCTGACAACTCTGACAGTATGGAGTTTAGCATTATTTTGTTCGTCCATACTAGTCATTAAAGGCATTACACGATCTAAAACTTCTGTAATGTATCTGTGAGCCGTAAGGAAGCTATTTTGTATGAAGACTGACTCTTTGCGTGCTTGTCAAGTAATTCTTGCCCAGATCATAACCAACTCACCGTCAAATGGGAGTCGCTCATCAATACAAGCCGCAGCATATCTTTCTCCGGTTCTTCTCCATACTCGACGACGTCCGTCTGAGACATCGAGACGAAAACGCGACACATCTGAAAACAGTATCCTTCTTCTAACGGTCCATTCACTATCATTAACATTTCTTACCTCTTGCAGTTAATTTCGTAAGAAAGCGCAGTCTCCTCATAGCGCTGGTACGAATTTTGAACTGCACATAGACTCCTTCCAACAATTCTTACAGTTTCACGTTGTCGGCAGCTATTTTGTATCAATGTACAATACACTGTACCACCGATAGGTTTTACACAGAAAAATAACACTTAATTGAAAAATTGGCAGTTAACTGTAAAGGTTCCACTAGAGTGAATGCAGATATTTCATAAAAAATGGTTTACAGATATATAGACTTGACACTACGCCGAGATAGATACCATACGTTTTGCGTGGAAATTTAGATACCATAATGTCGTTCTCAGAGCGCAATGCGACGGAAATCAATAATCCAACTTTGAATATGGCTTCTGCTTTCTGTAATGGCTCTGAAGTAATCAAATGGCAAATAAAACTCTCTCCTCTTAAAAACCTCTTATTTTTTCTCAATCTTGTTATGAACGGAATCTAACTCCATTTGAGTATGCCCCTTTTTTGCTCAGTAGCCACTCCAGTTTTCTGAAAAAGATGAAGAAGAGCAGTGGATACTTTTTCTCACATATTTTGGTAGGTACAATCATCAATTCATATTAAAATGTCAGTGAAACTTATCTTTTCTCACATATTTTGGTAGGTACTATCATCAGTCCATATTACAATGTCACTGAAACTTCTCCAAATGAATCTCTAGTTAATGCTTTCTATGTATCCTTTTGTTTCTCTTCTCTAGATGCTTCTTTCTTTTTTTGGTGAATTTGGAACTCTAAATCTGATGGGTTGTCTAATTTATGTTAAATACAAGCTTCACACTGGTCTTTTCTAGGCTTGAAATAATGAATGTTTAATTTATACATTACTCTTGAGAATAGAAACCAGCTTGCAGTTGGTTTATTATTACTAGCACAAAAGTTCTCTTTGAATTCTTTAAATAAGGCCACTTTACTCTCCCAAACTGACTCAAGATAGGGTTCAATACTCGAAGACCTACAATAATGGGACTCCAACCTAGGAAGAATCTGAAAAACTCTTCCACTCTTTCTTTTGTAAAATCTGGACTAAAGTGTTGACAAAATGTTTTTGAGGGAGATGGATCAAAATTTATATTAGGCTCATCACTATTGTTGTCTAAAGTAAGTTTTTGCAGCTATGGACGAACCGCGAACTGCAAAATTCAACTACAACCTCGTTTAAAAATATTTTAATGCACACGCTGACATGAAAATTATGTTTTAATAAGTAGTACTTATAGGTAATATTTCTTTTGGTAGACTTAGATAAAGTGGAAGATTTTTACCTCTTTTCAATTTGCTTTCGTTCAACCAATAAGGAGATATGTGCTCTTCTTCCGGACCAGTCATCTAAAATTTTCGAAAATAATTGAGTTTTTTTTCCTCTGTCCTCCAGTACATTTGTACAGCATACAAAATTAGTATTTTTAGTGCTCCATTTGCAGGTACATCGAATTATAATTTTTCTGTCTTCTCTGTCAGCTATTAATTTGTACATTTCATTGTCTTTTTTTAGCCCTTCATATTTCTCGCCTCGCAATTTGCTTTATTCAGTTGACGCGCCCAAAGATCTGGATAGATAATCATTTGCGGCTTCTTTTTGAGTCCCAGATGTTGCAGTGGGTTCTTGTTGATGGGCCCCATTTCCAGACTGTTTACAAGATTATCTACATTATATTCTTCATTGAGCTGACTTTCCTGTGTTCCAATTTCTATTTCTGCAGCAAATGGTACATTCAATGAGTCATAGCCTCTTTGACTTTTCCCTCAAGCACCTTTACACATTTGGTACGTTGTTTGTCCAGAGTTGGCATAGTATTTCCTTGTGTCTTGAACAATAATTTCTTTTTAGGGAATTTTCATTTCTTGTTCCTGAACTTATTTTTTTTTCTACCATCCTTATCATTACAAGATGCATCACTAGAGCTATAGATTGAAGGTTCATATCTGTCCGATTCAGAAAATAATGAGCTGTCGCTGTCACATAGAGTTATACTTTGAATGGAGTTATTACCAGTGGCATAGTTTAGAGGGGATGTATGTTGAATAATATTGTGTTCTTCATTAGTGATAAGATTATTTTCTACATTAGTTACAATACTTGTATTGGGCTCACGGCCCTGCATGTGATGTGGTGTTTGGAACTAGGCGTCTCGTTTTTTCTAGACATCAGTTCTACTAAGAGTTTTCCTCTCGAACATCATTTTCTTCGGCCTCTGTAATACTATTGTGTGGTAATTAATGTATGGAATTTATTGATTAAAGGGAATGTTATTATATAATTTACAACGGCACCTAAAATGTATTGTCTAGTTATACCCATACTAATATTTTTGGTAGTTATCTAAAAAAATATTTCTTATGAAAGTAAACAGAAATCACACTTGTTTACTTTCAAATTTAAGAGTTAATGCATAATATTTTAATAATAATTTAGTCCAGGCTTTGAGTTTTGTTATTTATTCATAAAATTGAATATACATCACTACATTTTCTTAATTTTCAATGACTTTTTGTGCTTTTGGGTTTTCCTTTTCATTAATCCTTTGTCAGAGTTTTGAAGCACTACCTTTATTTGTCCTCTGATTTATCATTTTTTTGCACCACAATGGGTGCATTTTGGTTCCTCTTTTAGTGGTTTCTCAAAATCTTTTGTAAGGTGCTTACCGATGCATTTAGCACAGCTTGAGCCCTTCTTACAATATTTCCAGATATTACCATAGGCCTGGCATTGTTTGCACTGCGGTCCCAGCTTTAAAATTTTTAGTGGTTGAATTTCAACTCCCATGCTCAGTATGTCAGTTATTCCAAAGATTTTGTTAATATCTTCTTGTATGAACTTCAGGATGTACATATCTAGAGATTTTCTCTTTTCAATCATCAATAATTATTTTAGTAAAATCCGTAAAATAGTTTCGAAACACAATTCAGATTTCTGCTTATCATCTGAGCCTTCTAAAAATTGCAAGGCATGCAAACAGGATTTCTGTTTAGTTGTAAAGACATGTCGTGGAATGCAAATTTTAGATTCCCCATGTCCCTTTTAACATCTTTTATCAACGTCTGTTTGCATTGTAATTTTTAGAAGGCTCAGATTATAAGCAGAAATCTGAATTGTGTTTCGAAACTATTTGACGGATTTTATTATTAGATGTCGCTATTGCGTCCTTAGTGAAGCCATTTTAGTGTTGCTTCTTAAAAGACAGAAAATATTGATTTTTCACGTTGAGAACACCTATGAGTAACTGTTCTTATGAGACCTATTAGGTCGAAATACGTATCAACAGATACATAGGCGCTTTTTGCGTGAAATCAAACATTTGTTGTCTTTTTCATTTCAAATTATTTTAGTATCTGGTGGACCAATACCAAATGCAACTTTATGGAAATCATCTTTTTCTATTAATAACAAATCTATATCAACTTAAATGCAAATATTGATTCAATCAGTTCACCATGACATCGTCATACGTTACCATAAACGACGATAAATAAAAAAAAACTAGTCCTAACCAACTGCCACCGAAAAAAAAAAATACAAAGAGAACCGATTACAATAGATTATTTTATTTAAATACTTAATTGTCCACTTATTGCCTGAATTGACATCTTTGAATGACTTCGTAATAAACGATAAAAAACGAATCTTTAAATCCGTAGTAATACCTGCCCACGGTAATGGCTCCTAATTTCCTGTGTCTGTTTTTGAAGGCCGAAGCGAGCGTGTAGGAACCGTTTAAGATCGGTGTGAAAAATGTATAATTGAATTTAAGCATGCGTCCAAGGATCTAAAATTCTATTACGGATTTAAATAGAAAGTACATTGGGAGATTGTGTAATTATATAATTAGTTAATACTAGAAACAGATGTTTTTGTATATTAAATTTGTACGAGGTAGTTAAGATATTATATGGGCTTACTTTGACCGAAAATTTCATTTTGATATGACTTCTCTTGTGATCTTACGTATATTTTTCTGTTGGAAACTGAATTCAAGTAATAGCTTTCCATAATTGTCTTTGAAGTGTCACAATAAATGACATGACCTTAGCGCTAATTTTCCTATTGCTATATTTCATAAATAGAGATATTGTTTATTATCTAATGTATACACCAAAGAAAATTAGCCAAAAACTTACTTTACAAGGATTTCAACCTGATTCTGTAATACACTTGCCAACTCACCTTTCTTATCTCTTCGGAAGATAAGATAACATTTATTTTCACCTACAACTGGAGCTATTGTGTTTATCTATAGTTCAGTAAATATTACATTTACCCTTTGCTGATTATTATTAAATACTATGTTATGCAAAAAGAGTAGGGCAAGGTTGCGATTTGTTAGATATCGATACTTTTTTTTATCGTAATTGACTGGTTAAGAAATTATAATGTAGAAGAATAATTTTGCAAACGTTTAAAAAATTGCCAGTGACACTACTACTAATAATTTGCACAATTTTCACGATATTTATATCCCTTGCTATCATGTAAATCTTCATGTTAATCGATCTTCCGCAGAGAATTTCGAAAAACAACCTGTTTTTATAATTACTTACTGCTTGTCGGATTTGAACATTAGTATAGCCAATCTGGTGACCTGTGATAATGAAGTCTTCGCCAACAGCACATGTGTTTGTACCTTTATGGTAGTCACTTTTGTGCTGGGTAATACGTTGTTTTAACCATTGGCTTGTCTGTCCAATATAGCAATATTCGCAGCCTAAACACGATAGTTTTTAGATTGTATTGGTAGTGTACATTACTGCTGTCTTATCTTATTCTGATGTTAGTGTATGATTTGAAGAGGGTTGTAATTTTATTTGTCAGGTTACCAAAGAAGAACAATCTTTTGTATTTAAAGTCTTGTGGAGGTTGCTTTATTGGACATAGCTAAAGCCACATTTTTTAACATGGAGCGTGAACAAATAATTTTCATGTAACAATAAAACACTGAAAACTGTTTTCGAAACTTCCACAAAAATTTATTGTTTTGAAATGTATTATGTTTATTAAGTTTTGAAAGCAAAGTTTTCAGTGTGTTATTGTTATTGTCTCTCCATCGCATTCGTGTATGTCCTAAGGGGCTTCTTCCTGTGGGGCTTCCTCCCATATTAACTTGGCAAGGCCGTTACTAGGGAGTCTTGATCTCAGCATTTGTTCTTATTCGGTATTGGTTGCTATTAATGTCGTGACAAGGCCCAAAGATTCTTTTAAGGATTTTGCTTTCAAAACATCAAAGTTTTCTTTCAGTTTCTTTGGTGAGGGTCCACGTCTCACACCCTTACATGAGCACCGGTCTAATCACCGTTTTATATATTGTAATCTTTGGTCCATTTACTGTCAGTAATTCTGTTGTAAGTTGTGCTGCTCTTACTACTCTTACTACTTTCTCCAGGATGATATTAAAATGGAGAGGTGACAGCGCATCTCGGTGTTACAGGCCACTGCTTATTTCGAAAGATTCTAAGAGTTTGTTACCTATCCATACTCTGGATCTACAGCTATTCACACATAACTTAACAAGCTGGATAAGTGTTTTTGGAACTGAAAGTTCTGCCATTGCATTCCTCATCTGATTCCTTTTAATGCTGTCGTACGCTTGCCGGAAATCTATGAAGTGATTATGGATAGTTCTATTGAATTCCCATCCTTTTTCAAGCTGCTGTCTTAGAGTAAAGATCTGATCTATGGTCGATTGGTCGATCTATGTTTTCTGAAGCCGGCTTTGTATTCCCCATGAACTTTTCTACAAGCGGTGTCAGCCTATTTAATAGGATGTTTGATAATATTTTATGTGCCGTATTAAGTAGAGAGATACCTCTATAATTAGAGGACTTGGTTTTGTCTCCCTTTTTATGGATGGGGATTAGTACACTTTCGTGCCATTTTGTTGATATTTTCTCTTCGTTCCATATAAGTGTTATTAGTTTGTGTATTTGTCTATGTAGAGTTTCTCCTCCGTACTTAAGGAATTCAGCCAGTAAATTGCCTGGAGTAAAATTCAGAGCCTGGAGCTTTTCCGTTGTTCAATTTGTTAATTGCTTGCAATATTTCGAAGGTATGTACTTTGGGGTCCTATACCGGTAGGTCCACCCCAAAATATATATTTTCTCCATGTTCTTCCTCTAGATGTATGTTTAGTAAAGTCTTGAAATATTCTTGCCATGTTTGGAGCAGTTCTTTTTCATTTATTATTAATTCATCATTTTTTCTGAGTACAGACACGCATCGAGGTTGAAGCCTTTCTTTTCGTTCGACAGTGATTTGTAAAATGCTCGACTATTTGACTGTTGCCTATTCCTTTCCATTTCTTCATATTTTTGTTGTTCGTACTTCCTTTTTTTCTCTCTAATTAATTTTCTTGTTTCTGGGCGTAAAGTTGCATAGTTTTCTTTACTTTCCGCTGTTCCTTGTTGAAGCATAATGATTCGCTTTATCTGACTGTCGTGTAGTTTTTCTTGACATTCTGTATCAAACCATTTCCTTGTTCTCTTCATGCTTTTTCCTATTATTAGTTCTGCTGACTCCGTAATTAATTTTTCCATTTGTTGCCACATCATATTCGACATCATTGCTCTGGTCGACTGTATTTAGATGCTCTTTAATTTCTTGTATGTAATTTTCTCGGAATTCCTCATTTTGCATTTTCTTGATGTTCCACTGTCCCAATGCTTTGTTGGCATTAGGTTTCTCTGAAGATATTCTCAACTTGATTTTTGTGGACTGCGAATCAACTTTGTGGATTTTTGGTTCCGCGTGAACTGGTCTCCACGCGGAACCAAAGTGGGTCAGTGGATCTGTGATCTCCAGAACTTAGAATTCAGCTTATTACAAAATCGAAAAACTTTGTATAACTTTTACACGGACGGTATCCGTTTGTATTATTATAGAAAAATTATATTATATATTATATAGAAAAATAAGATATTTATAATATCTTATTTTTCTTAATAATTAATAGGTATTTAGTTTCTCAACATTTATGTAAGTAAAAAAGTTTTTTATTCGTGCAATTTACTTTTAGATTTGCAAGAAAACTCTATCCATCTTGCAACTGTCCTACATTAAGACTCCGAAAATACCAATAATTTGTAAAGTTACGTTACGTAAGGCAAGTTTTATACTAAAGTTGCCAACAATCGTTACTACCCACTAACTTACATGACTGCAAATCATATTTCACCTCGTGGAGTTTCTGTACTAAACATAACTTTCTTTTCCAGAGATTTAAAGGCTGAAAACTTACTGTTGGATAGTGAAATGAATATTAAAATTGCCGATTTCGGCTTCTCAAACGAATTTACCCCAGGAAATAAACTAGATACTTTTTGCGGGAGTCCACCTTATGCAGCTCCTGAACTTTTTCAAGTAAGTATTTTTATATTAATATTTTTTAATAAAAATATCAAATTTGTATTACTTATGAAAAGTCGATGCAGCAACTGAGCTGTTTCAGTTATATCTGTACTTTCTTTCAACGCTTAAGAGCATAATTTAAACTCACTTATCTTTTGACTCTAGTTGTGAGACAAGCTGATCATTAATATTCAGGCCAGCGTGGTGCTATTGTTAGAGATGTGAAATTACATAAACAACGGACCCTTTCATAAAACAGGTAGATCCTTGTTTATGGAATTTCACACCTCTAACAATAGCACCCGCTAAGCTGAATATTCATGAATCTCTTAGAAATCTGGTTAGACTATACTAACCGAAAACCGAAACTCATAGATCTTGAGAATAAACGGAACGAAAATGGTAGGGCTCGATTTGTTCCGAACTTAGCCAAGCAGCAGAAGTATTGTACTCCACATCGCCATGCTTCTAATCTACAGACATCCACTATGCGACCGTTACTTTATTGTTCTGTATACAATTGTTTGAGTAACAATTACAATCCGGCCTGCAACAATAACATGTTGCAGACCGGATTGACTAGCCCGAATGGCCGACCCCAGGGGTCATACTTTGCCCATGTCTAGATTAAAGTCTAGATAAAATTAAAAATTAATAAACTACAAACCGATTAGAACAAGAACTCGAGAACGTCCCTTGAAAATATGCAATGAACTTTGATAGCAAAACTTTGATACATTGCTATCCATCTTCTAGTAACTGAAAATTGAACATTAAATTTTGTTCAAGTTCATTTTCCACTGTAACACACTGTAATATATATTCTTGTAAAAAACATTTAATAAAAACACCATCAGGCCGTATACGAACGTTATAGCCTAGAAAGGAAATTTGAAGAGTTAATAAAGTTATATTGCGGCAATGATCTGCGAAAAATCTCCACGTTGAGTTTTAATGAATTTTTGATGAAGACCTTCGCGCCAAATGGAAATTCGCTCTCGGTTGAAATTCGTCAAAATTCGGGTAACAAATATGGACGGTGTTCGCTTAGGGTGTTATTTCTCTTCTCTTTGTTAGTTTGAAGGGAACACATTCCCTCTGATTTCCCAGAAATTAATTTTAAACAAAAGTTGGTTGTGTATAGAATTTGTGACCATGAAATATGAAATATTGTGCGGGTTAGCCTGGAAATTTAGTTCTATATTGTTTTAAATTAAAGTAGATTGTACATTTAAAGCTAATATTACATTGTATTATCATAATATAACGATATATTTTGTGTACATTATATTAGAACGTAGTCAACGGTTTCCATTTTCAACTTGATTTTAATTGAATAGACCTCTTTATACAGTTTTGATGACAAACACAAAAACTTTAATAAATTGTTTATTTTTTCCTACTTATGGTATTTTTCCATATAAGATTATAATCCTTGAACTGAGTTTGGTAAATTGCAAATGAACCAAAAATTTGTAGCCGAAACGAACATAAGCTTTTCACGCATAACATGCATCAATTGGTTATATCCATATCACAAATGACCAATTATCAATTATTTTCTGACCTAACTTAATAAACACCAAATACTTAAATCTAAGGGCTTACTCTTATTTTATCTATCAACTAATGCACTATAACTAACATACAATAACATCACAGCACTATAATCTTCTTTTTTATACTAAACTGTTACGTATTTATATTAACTCAAATGGTTTTGTCCTTATGAGTCTTCTCTTTAGTTCAGTGTTGTCAAGAAGCTGGATTGCCTCGACATTTACGTGATTATGCAGCCGCTGCTCGTGACTTGCTGCTGTTCTCTTGATTATTTCGGTCAGTTTCCATACCAGGTTCTGGTAGAGGTTGCTGTTACGGATATATCAAGAAGCATCAACAATGTTCCTCAGTACTTCGTTTTGAAATCTTTCGATAATATGTAGATTACTAGCTTTGGGGCCAGCCCATCTCCCTGCTTTAGTCCCTGCGAAATTTTGAAAAAGTCTGTCCGGTGGTTGTGTATTCGTAGACATGCCCGAGTTTCATCCATTGTGGCTTTAATGAGTCCAATTAGCTTGTGCGGTATTGTCAGTTCAGCCAATATATTGTAGAGTGTGTTACTTTTGACTGAGTCGTATGCCAATTTGAAGTCTACAAACACGTTGTGAACATCAATGTCATGTTCCCATGATTTACTCAAGATCTGTTTGACTGTAAATATTTGATTCCGCTGAGTTGTTGGAGCCGCTGGTTTATAATATACGTGAGGGATTTATATGCATATATACATAGTAGAGAAATTCCACGGTAGTTTTTGCACTGGAGTTTGTCTCCTTTTGTATAGATTGGGCATATGCTATACTTTTCTTCTAGTCTTGTATTTTCTCTTCTTGCCATATGTCTTTGATGAGCGCGTGGATGTGACTTGCTAGGTGGTCGCCACCTATCTTATACAATTCTGCTGATCTTTCGTCAACTCCCGGGGCTTTATTGTTTTTCTGAACCTTAATAGCTTCGAGAATTTACTCTATGGTTGGAGCTTCGACTCCATTCTCTACTTCATTCTCTTCTGCGTAGTTCGTACCCATTTGATGTTCTATGTCGACTTGTGTACCAAGTAGGGTCTGAATATAATGCTTCCAGGTTTCTGTGACTTTATGTTGGTCACTGATTATTTGCTTACTTTCATCTATATATAAACTTATTTGAGGTTTATACCCACTATTTACCTTCTTTAGGTATTCGCAAGCGCTCTAATTTCGTTGTTTTTGAAATTTTCTTCCATTCATTTGTCCATTTTCATGGGCTCTTTTTTTATTTCTACATATCTTGTCTGCTTTCCGTCTTGCGACTTCAAATGATGTTTGTCTTTCCCGTGTTCTTCTTGGTATATACATTTTGTGTGCTTCATTTCTTTCCTCTATTGCTTGTCTGCACTCGTCATCGAACCATGCTCCTCTTCTTGCCTTTTTCTTGTTTCTCAGGGTGGACGCTGCTGCTGTCAGTACTGCTGTTTTGATATTATTCCATTTGTCATCTATGGAGTGCAGTTCTAGCGTCCATAACTCATTTGTGACTTCTTCTTCGAACCTCTCTTTATATTTCTGAATCTTCAGTTTTTCCAGATCCAGTTTGTTTGTTCTTTGTTGTCTTTCGTTTCTTTCTTTGTGGCAAAATGTATCAAAAACTCCCCATTCTCGCTTCTTTGACTGTGCAGTGGTTGTTGTCCTGTTGTGCCATAGAACTGCGGCTCCTTGCCTATTTTAGTATTGATATCACCCATTATAATCTTGATGTCATTTTGGGCGCATTGTTATATAGTATCTCCAGCTGTTGGTAGAAGCTTTCCTTTGTATATTTTTCTTGTTCTTCTGTTAGGCAGTGAATGTTTATAATTGTTAGGTTGAAGAAGTGGTTGCAAATTCTTAACTTGCATATAATTTCATTGGCTGCCTGGAAGTCTATGATTTTTGAGTAAAAATCATTATCCACCACAAATATAACTCCACATTATTTTCTTCGTTGTTCGTCCCCACTATATAGAATGTGTGCGTTTTAGTATCCCTGACATCTTTTCCCCTCCATCTTGTCACCTGAAGAGCAATAATCATCAGCTTATATCTTTTTAGTTTTTGCAGAAGTGTGGTTTGAGCTCCTGGTGTATTTAGTGTTCTCACATTCCAGTTTCCAAATATATAGTCCATGTTTTGTAGCTTGAGTCGTTTCTGAAAGCTTCATCCTGTATTCCGAGGCAAATCTTCAAGTTTCGTAACAGTGTGTTTTTTCCGGGAGTGGGTTGTCAGCCCACTGCCAACCTTCCTCCTTTACCCGGGGTTAGGACCGCCAGTGGTGACTCCTGAGCTACTCGATCGATCCATTTGTAGGTGTTAACCTACTCGCCTATTAGAAAATATTTCTACACTTCAGCATTCGATTAAAAAAGTATCGCATGTGAAACGAGAAACTAATCTGACGGATTAGTCCTCTAACATATATTTATCAAAGAATAACTCTCTGGTTAGATGTGTACACACCTTATAAAGAGGTCTGAAAACAAACGTGTTGAGATCCTACAATATATTCCTACCCTCTGGTAGGAACGACACTGGAGGGAATTCTCATCCAAACCAACAGTTAATTGGAAGTAAAAAGTAAACCAAATTCTCGTTACACCAAAACAAAAACCCCAATTACTGAACAAAAACTTGTAAAATCAAAACAATTGTACTTCTTCCAATTCTAAATAACTAAATAAAACTTTGTTGTGCAACTGAAACCATTTCTCTTAAAAAAAACATACAAAACGGATTCTTAATACTTTTTTGTCCAATATGTTGGACACGTAAGAGCGTGTCAGATCTCAAGTCCAGTTGTGCATGTCAAATTCTGTCATAGTTATCAAATTGAAATTCCTATAGAAGTAATATGGATTGTCTATCTATTAGTGGTAAGAAAAGACTATTGATATTTAAATTATAATTAGAAAGTGACGAACGTTACAACCTACACCGATTTTTTTTAAATGTATTTCTATAAAACCAGTAAAGCAATTATATTGATAAGAAATATTATTTAATATAAAAATAATAACTACATGACGTCAAGGTACATGAAAATTATATGGTACAAATTGACTTCACGAAGCATTTTGTCAATTATTAATTTTTCCTGTTACGTAAATTAATGAAGGTAATTTAGTCGATGTACTGAATTTTTAATAACGTCAAAATTAGTAGCCAGATACCATAAAAATATAGCTAGTAATTTTTTAAGTAAAAAAGGAAAACCCCCGGAACCAGTTTATACGGGAACTTAAAAGAAAAGTATTTAAAAGAAATTTTTTGGTTTTATTTATTGGAAATTATAATTTATTTAATAGAGCAAATAATAATGACTAGACTTTATGAAAAAACTTGCATGTCTTCGTATAAGAAAAAATCGCCATGAAGACGCCATTCACGCACACGCCAACCGTAAATAGTAAGTTATAAAAATGACCACAACAATTATATAACTATCGAACAAATCAATTCGTAAAAAGTGGTTAAATTTGGTGAAAAACATAATAGTAACCGAGCAAAAACTACTAACAAAATATTTATATATCAATAAAACACTGAAAACTTTGTTTTCAAAACTTCTACAAAATTTATATTAACAAGAGCCAAAATAAAAAGCATTTACACAGTGGTGTGTACAAATTTAAATGCGGCGACTGTCCAAAACTTACATCGGTCAAACTGGTAGGACTTTTAACAAACGTATAGCGGAACATAAAAGGGTTTGCAATAATAGAAAAATATATTCTACATACGCACTTCACTTTCTAGATCATAATCATTCTTTTAACGACATTGTTTTAAGTGAATGCATAGGAAATAATTCATTCAATCATAGAACTTGGGCAATCTGGGTTTAGCAAATTTCATAGCTGGGCCAACTGATATGGGAAGGAGCTCGTATAGATCAAATATGTTAACAAAAAACACAACTATCTACAAAGCACTAAACTCCATTAATTTAATGGTCTGGTGAATTTAAATTTTACCAACGGCTTCATTTGGCATTCTTGTTGTGACAACGTAGATCGAAAAAACTGTCTTAAAAAGAATAAATCGTCATTCGCGTGCAAAATAAAAAAAAATAAACGTGAAGATACCCACGGCTTTAGTGACTTCAATCCATAGAGTATAACGAACATATAAACAAAGTTTTACTTCTGACAGACCCGTCAAAGCCATATTAAATTAATAATAAAATTTTAATAAATATTGTATAGTAAATATAATTATTATCTAAAACTAAATAAGATAATTGATGGATTCGACCGTTACTTGATGGAAATTCATTTTATGTAACAATAAAACACTGAAAACTTTGTTGTCAAGCTTCCACAAAACTTATTTTAAACTCTTATCACTACAGCTGTTTCAGCTGATTGACTTTCTCAAGTGATCTATTTTTGGCATGCGTTTACACTTTATAGTCTCTAATGAAATAGGTTGAGTAGGGGAAAACTGTTTGTCTCAAGTTGGTCATTGAGAATTTTATATGTGTTTTTGAATTTGTTGATTTCCATAGATTCTAATAAGGATAACTTAAGGCCTTTATTTTGAATGTGAAGAATTTTAAATTCGTCATTTAAAGAATGATTGTGATCTACAAGGTAAAGTGCGTATGTAGAATCTGTTTTTCTATTATTGAAAGCCATTTTATGTTCTGCTATTCGTTTATTAAAGTTTCTACCAGTTTGATCGAATTAAGTTTTTGGGCAGTCGCCACATTAAGTTTGTACACACCACTCTGTAAGTGTTTTTTATTCGGAAAGCTGGTGTTATTCCTTTCTTTTTTATGTGTTTGGCTATTTTTGTTTATATTTTGCCTGTATATGTAATCGAGCAGAAGGTACTGGGTTTTTTCTCTGGTGGTGGAAATACGAATTTCAGGGCTTTCTTGTGTAGTTTTTGATTTAACATTTTATTAATTGTTTGTTCGTTGTATCCGTTGTTTACTGCTACTTGCTTGATGGTATTTAATTCTGTCTCAAAGTTGTATTTTGACATCGGAATTTCTTTTAATCTATGTAATATACTATGAAAGGCTGCCAGTTTATGTTGTGGTAGATGGGATGATGAATTGTAGATAGTCGTGTCAGTATGGGTAGGTTTATGAAATATGGAGAAGTCATGTTTGTTTTTAAATCTGATAATTTTTAAATCTAAAAAATTTATGGATTGATTTTATTCTGTTTGTATTGTAAATTCAATATGACTATGAAGTGAATTAATATACGATAAAAATTGATCAAGTTGTCTGTTGGTTCCTGTGAAACATACCAGTAGGTCGTCTACGTATCTTAAGCAATATAAAAACTGTTTAAAAACGGGATATTTTGAAATCTTTGTCTCTAGATGATCCATATCTGATAGCAATGGGCCTAGAGGATTACTCATTATCAGTCCTGCACTGTTATTTGTATATATTTGATTATTAAATTCAAAGTAGTCCTGGTTTATGCAAACTTCAAGAAGATGTAAAATTTCAGTAATTATTGGATTTGTACCATTTTGGTCTAAAAGGTTTTTACTAGAATAAAAGTTTGTGTGAATAAAAGTGAAAATTTAGTGTGTTCTAAAATAATCTCTAACAGTTTTTTTGAAAGCTTATATGACGGAACTGTATAAAAATAAACTACAGGTCTTATTGGGTGATCCGGTTTGTGTAGTTTAATGAAAGAGTATAATTTAGGAGGCTGTGGGTTCATGATATTGAGGTATTTCTGTTCTATTGGATTTACTATTGATTTCGAATTTTCTAATGCTAGCTTAATTTGTTTTTGATATTTTTCTGTCGGATCTTTGTGTAACGTTTCAATATTTTGATTAATCAAACGCACGAGTAACACAAAGGTTTGGGTTGTTTCCATGGTAGGACAGTTTATTTTATGGATCTAAGGTTAGAATTTGATACATCCCATGTTTCCTGCCAATTGTTAAATATTTTCTTTTTAAAATATTGTTTGACATCAAGGTGGTGACAAGTAGACATTGACAATGAAATTTGTTGCTCAATTGCTTGTTTAGCAATATTGTCGGCTCTTTCATTTCCTTTTAATTCCACAATGTAAAGGGGTCAAAAAAAACTGAACAGTTCGATGATTGATTTGGCATATCATCAGTTCCGATTTAATTAAACTTAAGGTAGGGTGTTTAGTAAAAAGTTTGTTTAATGAGGATAATGAACTCAATGGATCACTAATTATTAGGCTATTAAAAATGTTATTTTCATTGACGAATTTTATTGCCTGAAGAATGGCAAATAGTTCAGCAGAGAATATAGTAAATTGCTTAGGGAGTTGAAATGGCCGTTCTGCGCTGGTTGTTACAAGTGCAGCACCCACTCCATTTTCCGATTTTGACGCATCAGTATAAATGTGGTAGGATTTGTGATGACTATTTAAATTCTCTAAGACTTCGGTTTTAAAGAGGTATGATGAAGTATCAGATTTTTTAAATGATGTAAGGCTGATATCGCACTTTGGGAGAGATATTGTCCATGGTCGAGGATTATCAGAAGTTGGAAGTGTGTATATAGGAGGTAAGGTGATGTCTAGGTCATTTAGAATTTTGCTGATACGATGATAGAATGGTGGATCTAGTCTTCTTGACTGAAACATCGAGAAAAATATATCAGCAAAAAAGTACTCTTCCAAGTATGTATTTGTATTGTCCGTTAGAAAACATTACAATGTCTAATGTTTTCTAACGGACTCCCTTTTTCAACGTTTGTTAAACGTAATTTTATGTTTATATATGGATCAAATGAACTAAAACTGTAGAGGTGAAGTTATATAAAACAAAAATATCTTATCTGCTAAGCTGGACCAAAAAATACATTTTCACAAAATTTTATTGGAATCGGTTCAGTGGTTTCGGATATTAACGTGGACAGACGACGTGACACGAGAGAAACGCGGTGTTTCTTATAGAATAAGAGCGCAGGATATAAATAAAACGTGTGTTATAAAACGTGTTGTTGGCAGTTTTACATTTTTTACACTATATTAGATTGCATACAAAAGTTGTACCATTAAATAACAATTTGGTTGAATTCACAATATACGACGAGAACGAGTTATCTCGATTTTTTTAAATATTCTGTATTATTTCTACATTTAAACTATTAGTATTCATACTGAGGCTGAAATTGCACTGGCAGTGTTGGTAAAAGACACATGAGCTTTTTATTCAAAAACATTTTATCAGACAAAGATCAGTTTGAAACAGACCTTAAATTTTTTTATTTGAAATATGATATAACATATTTAGATTTATTTATAATTTTCGATTGTTTTTAGGGTAAAAAGTACGACGGTCCAGAAGTAGATGTCTGGTCGTTAGGCGTAATCCTCTATACCCTCGTCTCGGGTAGTCTCCCCTTCGACGGTTCGACGCTCAGGGAGCTGAGAGAGCGAGTACTTAGAGGAAAATACCGGATCCCTTTCTACATGAGTACCGACTGCGAAAATCTACTAAAGAAGTTCCTCGTACTCAATCCCGCCAAAAGAGCTAGCCTGGAAACCATCATGAAGGACAAGTGGATGAACCAGGGGTATGTGGGGTTAGTTAAGTTGGATCATTCGGTGTCGTCAGTAGATTGGTCTTGTCGTATTTGTGTTGTGTTATACATAATGTAGACCAGTCGTGTGTAAATACAATCTGTTGTGAAACGTAGGGAGTATTTTCCAGCACACTAGTCCTGTTTGCTATACTATAAATGAGCATTTTTTTATCGTATTTGTTACATGGAAAATATTCTCTCGTAAGTTATACAGAGTATAGGAACTTTTACTAAATGTCAATACCAAACATTGCATGAATATTTGTTCTATGGTGTAAATATGTATGTGTTAATTCAGAAATGCTAAAAATTTTTTCCGACAGTCATAGATTTGCATTTTATTTATTCATGCTGTCATTGGATCCAAGAATTCTTTCATGAATTTCGAATGCCTGTATTCTTTTAATTAAAACTACTAATGTATCAACAGTAAACAACGATTTGAATCCATTTCTAAGAGAACATATGAAGGTCAAAAGGAACCAAATCTGGCGAATAGAGAGAACTCATACCTCAAATGGTTTTGAAACAATTTTCCTGTGTCAGGATTACACAATTAAAAAAAATGGTATTAAACCATATTTCATTTCAATTATTTGTAATCTGTATTTTTTAAAGAGGTATTATCCTGTTGAAAGATCTTTGTCTATTGCAAGCAAAGCGTTTTTAATCTGTAGTTTTTTATCCAACTGGTTGAAAACATTGAATGTTATTTCAAATGAATTACTTGATCCTTTGGAAGGTGGCCAATTAAAAAAATTCCTTTTGAAGCTCAAAAACCCTTGCTATATCCTTTCCAGTCTATATAATTTCGTTTTTGGTCTATTCGTTTGGTTTAGCTGTAATATAGTGACAAATCTGAGAACAAAATTGACTAGATTCATCTTGAAATGACCCAAATATTTCTGAGGAAAGTTGATTCACTGTTTATTTGTGATTATCATTTAACAGTTTAACATTTGTGATGTTGCATAAAGGCTTCTTCTACTGATTTCTTCACGTAAAATATGCCGTACTGTTCTTCTGAGGAATATAAATCTTAATTAACGCCTTTAGTTGTGATTATATAGAACCATGTTGTGTATCTTTCCGATATTGTCTTTGGTAGTTGCAAATGTATGCAGTGGCAGATGTATGCTCACGTTTAACCTTCCTTGACAACTTTTTATCATTTATATTTAGATTTGGAATTTTTATATACTTTCCTCAGCTGTGGATATATATTGTTTCTAGTGATAATTCACACTGCCTGACTGTATACCATAGTTTCAAAAATTAACAATGAAGTAAAAATTTCTAATGTAATTGGTGTATTTGTAAAATTAGTAAAATAATTGAAATATCCGAAATGATTACAATTTTAAAACGGTCTCGCACTTATCAAACCATCTTCAGTGAAACCTGAAAGCAATTAATCCCAATTTATTATAATGAACAAAAGGAGTAAAAATTTTTGAAAACTGTTGCAATTAAAAATTAAAATTAAAACTATTTAATGTTGATGATTAAAATTTAACGGAAAAATACCCGCCAACTGAGTTAAAGGATCAGAAAGTGAAGTTTTCTTGTCATTTTTACTTAATTATTTCACTTCCTGGTCCTTCAACTCAGTGGACTGATAACTTTTGTAAGACCCAGATGTGATCGCCATTTCGAGTAAGGGTCAATATGTTTACCTTGCGGTTAAATTTTAAATTATTTACATTATGACGTTTTACAACTGTTTTTAAAGTGTTTCTCCCTTTGTCCATAACAATAAAGTAGAATTACCTTTTTGCAGGTGTCACTGATGATGGTCTGATAGGACCAAAATCATTTTTTAAAATTGTAATCCTTTTGAATATTTTCATTATTTAGGTAATATTATAAATATACCAGTTACTCCAGAATTTTTTCATACCATTTTTAAATTTTTATTGATGGTAAATTATTCAACTTTGAAACTAATGTGTAAATCCAAAAAAAAAACATTAATTTCAACAGTTTCAGAAACTGCATTTATGTCCTCCATAATTCCACAACATTCAATATCATATGTAATACCTAATCGGTTTCCTCTATTTTAAAAATCTTCCTTTTTTACTTTTCATGATTGTATAGTCACGGTCCCTCACTGTCATTTGGATGTGTCTACTGCATATGCCTCTTTATTCAGTTACAATTTACATAGCACCTTCGTTACTTGTGTGTTATCTTTAAAAGAATATCGTGACTACGTTCCCGATCAGCTGAGTGTCCCGTGGAGGCCACAATATTTTATTATATGCCATATGAATGCATTGTTCATTCATGTTTCCTTCGTAATTGTTCAGATGTCGTACATAATTACTTCAATGTTGAAATCAAGAGATAACAGTTCTATACCCATAGGCGAGGCAATGATTAAGCCTATCAAATTTTTGCAGTAGGATGTTTAATAGTACTTACTAATCAGAGGTTTTTGGGGTCAAATCAAAATCAATCAAAATTAGTGCAAATTAATTACCTAGGAACTTTTGTGGTCGCTGAACACTTATATCCTAGTGCCCAGTGCCCAGACGGGCCTCGTCTTCTGGAGTTTTGTGTAAATTCAATACAAAATCAGTGCAAACACGTTAATCGGTGGTTTTGGTGTCGCTGAACACTAATATCATGTTGGTGATAGTGTCCGAGGTACCTTGTGTTCACTAGAGGGCTGGTCTCATGGAGTCTCTGTTCATTGGAGGCCATCACCGTCAGGATATTCATGATGAGCGTCACCAAAATCCCCCGAATCACGATTGTGCACTGATGGTGAGTCCCCGAAGACGGCCCAGGTGTACCAGGTACCTCGGAGACCATCGCCGTCGTGATAATCGTGTTCAGTGACTCCAAAAACCCCGAGCAGTAACATTGAACTCATTTCCGTAAATTATTTCCCAATTACAAATTTATCATTTTTCATCACTTCGAAATGCACGTTGGAAAATGCATTTTCCGTGTTCAATACAGATTTTGACATCATTATTTTTGTTCACAAAATTTCCTGACACTCGTATGAATCGAATGCAAAAAGTTTCACTTAGATCCATCCTACTGCGAAAATTTGGTAGGTTTTGAGCTATTACTGCTTCGTTGCATCTCCCACTACACTAATTTTTGAATACTTGTATCTTCTTTCTAAAAGTCTGTCTTCGTTCGCACTATGAAGATTTATGATCTAGTTGGACCCCATCATCGGGCATTGATAAAGCCTCAAATATACACGAACGCACAAAGGCGTAGATTCCTAACGAAGTTTCGCTTGGTTAATAGTGTAGATACGTTACGCCATTTACTTTGGATAACAACAAGAGGACATCACTGTAAGCATTTTAGCTACGTAGCAACCTCTTAAATATTGTAAAATTACTTGTATCTTCCAGAAACAGATATTTTAGCAGTTTGTACAGGTAAAGCCCATAAAGTGGTGTCTATCTTCTATATCTAGAACGAAATATGTCGTAGTGTTAAGGGCGATAGACTTTTATGAAGAATAAGCAGGCATTCATGTTGTCTAGTGCAAAATAGGCCGCCTTCTATAAAACGAATTACAGAAATTTCTTTTTTGGATGATAGTGGTATTTTTCGTTAACTAATTATCGTTGTGGGAACCATATTTAATCGAATGCATTAATGACCGAGTAAAATTACTACAAAAATTTATTTTCCTAGGTTAAAATACTATTAAGTGGAGCATGCTATAAAATCAATGTGAAATTTAGTGAACGCTACACCAAAATAAGTGTTAGATATTCGTTCTATGTTAGATGTCACAAGTAATTGTAGTAGTGATGTTTCTCAAATCAAAGGATCCAAAAAATGCTGTTTTAATATGATTTATAGATTATAAATCCGGCTCCAATCAAGTCCGACTTCTTCTGTTATTCGATAAACACTTTAATTACCGCAAATCTGTCAATTCATGGGCTGCAACTTGGTAGCGGCGTAGTGACTTTTTCTCGAAGCGTATTTTTTCAGTTTAATCGGAAATGTAATCGCGGACGTGTATGTAACAGATGTTATACGCAATTGCTTCACAAACTCAAAGGCATAAGAACAAAGCATCAATTAAAGAACAAAGTAAGAAAGACCACATACGTCGTACAGAAGCTAGTATTAGGAACTCGTTAAGTCGAAATTTCGAAAGGTCCTGACGACTATTGACTGTGGCCCTGGAAGGAAGCAAATCCTCAAGAAAAATAAGCATCCAGATTTCTAGGAATCTCTGTACAACATACGTCTTTCCTGGAACGTGGAAACAAAGTTTTTCCAAATATATAACCCTAAAAGACGACTTTGTACTGCGACAATTTCAAAAATTGGTGTTAACTACTGACTGTAAACCTGAAAAGAAACAAACACTCAAAAGAAACCAAACATCCAGTCTTGGAGGAAGCTTTATTCAACATTACAAAATTTTTGGCCCGTATGAGCCATGAAAAGAAAGTTTTTTAGTAGTCTATAACCAAAAAAGGTCTTTTTACCGTGAAATTGCGAATAAATTTAAAAATTGTTGTCAAATACTGACTGTGAACTTGGAAAGAATCGTACACTCACCAAAACCGAACTTATAGACGTGGAGGAAACTTTATAGAACATATGCCTACTTCTGAGCACATTTGAAAGCATAGTTTTTCTAAGAATATATGTAAAAAAGACGATTTGTACCGCGAAGAATTCAAAAAATCGTATCAAGTAGTCACTATGGGCATGGAAAGAAGCAGACGCTCAAGAAACCGTACGCCCAGACGTTGAGGAAGCTATATACAGCATTCCTCTATTTTTGAACTATCTTTCTAAAAATTCAAAAATCTGTGTCAAATACTGACTGTGGTCCTGGTACACTGAAGTAAATTGAACATGCAGACGTGGAGAAAACTTTTTTTGGGTCCATATTGGCCACGAAAGCAAAGAGTTTTGTAAATATATAATGAAAAAAGACAACTTTGTACCGCGAAACCGCGAAAAGATTCAAAAGTTTGTGTCAACTA